AGGCTAGGAGGGCTTCGATTGCAGATGAAGAGTTGCGCCAGCAGAGGGTGCGTGAGAGAGTTGCAGGGGCATCGAGCTCTGCCCCAGTTGTAGAGATCCAGCCTGTTTTGAGGGACGTTGTGAGCACCACTGATGGTGCGGCGAGAGTGATAGAGAGCACTACTGAGGGTGCTATGATTGCTGATGTGGGCACTACTGAGGGTGCCCCCACTATTGTTCCAGCGGGTTCCGGGAAATCGGACCCCCATGCTTGTTGATGAGTCACCGGCGCTTTGCGCCACAGGTTTGCTTCACCCAATCCATTCTCTTTTACTGTTTTTGTATGCATTGGGGACAATTGCATCTAATTTTTTGGGGTGGGTAAATGGATTGTGAGTGATAGGGTGAAGTCTGAATAACCCAACTCACGGATCCTCTCTTGGGGTTTTCTTGCCTGTGTTCTTTTCCCCCAGGAGACTATTTAATTTTTGTTGAACCGGCATGTTTTAGGATCGTATATGTAGAAGCATGATAAAGAAAGAAGCATGATGGCTTATGAAAAATGATACCTGTCAGATTTTGTGATGTGTGCTAGAAGTTGTAGACTACGATAAGTTGAATGTGTCGGCTCTGAGTATGACATAATCATGAACCAACTTGATGGCATGACTTAAGTTGAAACTTGAACTGGGTAATCTGATAATTTGATAATGAAACTATGTGCCAAGAGTGTGTGAGAATCGTTGAGTGTTCAAACAGTTTTTGTGCGTAAACTAGAACTTGCCCGGTTAGTCCTGCTAAAACAATTCTATCTAGAGGTTAGGAAGTGATCATAGGCCGTTGTTCTTAAAAGTCCGCAAATTGCCTAAAAGAAGGATCTAACCAAATGAAATAAATGCTCCCTTTGATCCAAAAACTTTGAGCGAAATTAAACCCTTTCTTTCTAAACCCTGAACTCACTTTCCCATAATCCACTATGTTGGCCCCGGTCCCTCCTTGGACATGTGCACTTTGACTTAGGTCAAAAGCCTAAGTTGAAGGTGGCTAATGTACAAAGTACCTCAATCTTGGCCCTGACTTGACATCGGGTATTGTGCACCTCAACTAATGGAAAATCCATAAGTTGAGGGTGGCTATGAAAGAGGAAACTGAAAGAAAAATGGGTATGAAAAGAGTGATGTTGAGAGAAAAAAAAAAGAAAAAAAGGGTTGTGACTTGTTGAAAGCTAAAAGAAAAATAAAATAAAAGTAAAAAGAGCTACAAAATCTAAAGTCACATCCGTGGTTGAAGAAAATCAAGGAAAAGAAGGTAAAGTAATAATATGACAAAAATAGGGCAAAGAAGAGGTTAAAAGCCTAGTGTAATGACAAGGAGGGCAGAAAGTCACTAAGCAGTACCCAAATGTACCACACCTGACCCTGAGCCTACGTTACAAACCAAGAAAGTCCTATAGTGATCCTAGAGTCTAAGCAGTGAAAATAAGGGCAAGCCTATGGTATTGAGCACTAACTGTACTTGAAGTTATTTCTGAGTGTGAGTGTTGAATGAATCTCTGGACTCAAATTCATATTCATTGTGTGAAAAA